AGATTACTATAGCACATTACTTTTACAAATCACATCTTTGTAGGCGGCAGCTATTCAGCCACTCCAGGGCTACAACAATCAATATTGTACAGTGTTTTAGTGTTGCAGAAGACAAAATGGATTTTTATCACTATAGGATTTACAGTGCATCCTATAGATTAGGAATTGTGTAGAGTATAGTGTAAGACAAACCACAGGCCTTCATGAATGGTTTAATGAGAGAAAGGTTGATTGTTGTTACACAGTCCTATGAACGTATGCATTGTTTATATTGACTAAATGGAAACTATTAAACTATGAGAGAACTATGGTGGCCCTAGTTGCTGAGAAAATATTAGTTGCTGGCATATTAAGCCAATCCAGTACTTTGAGTCACTTACCTGACACATGTGGTATCCCCATATGCAGGAGGAGTAGCAGCGTGTGTGATAGGGTGTAATTTTATGTAAGCCCATGCTGTGTGTCAAAGATTAATCACAGGGGGGCAGCTGAAGGTCTCTAGATCAACCTAGTAGGAGGCACCCTCATGAGTAGAGATACCACAGGAGTGATTTGAGTGGCTATAAAATATTTGTGAAAATTATGAATCCCAGTCCTGTCTGACACTTATGTATATAAATATTGTGCTTACCTATTCTGGGCCTGTTATCGGACCAAATAAACTTCATCACATAGTTTTTAAAAGATTTTAGTTTAAGTTGGGACAGGGACCAGCAAAGTGTAAAAAATATATATGAGTTTAGGTAACTGTCATTTTTATTGCATTAACTTCCCCATCCATGAAAGAGTTTTGTTCAAGATTTTGAAAAGTGGGGGGATTCAGCATATGCCCAAGTATTCTAAGTGTCTTTTGGGCCATATGAAGTGTAATGTACCTGTTAATAAAGTTTAACTGTTATTCAGTGTTATTGTCACGTACCTTAGGAGAGTCTGAGATGTTGAGGGTGGCCTCTCTCACTTCTCTGGTCCTGGGGCACCTGGATGGGTACAGGAGCACCGGGGCACAGAGGGGCAGGAGTGCCAGTAGTAGCTGAAACCAATGAGCAGGAGAACAGCGATGGTTGTAAGTCTAGCAGGCAAGGATTGCACAGTAGTGTAATAACCTATTGAATAGGAAGATGGAACTCGGCTGCGGAGATACGTTAACAGTCACGTGCTCAGGTCAGGAGTACGTGATGGCAAGGGTTAATTTGCCAAACAACCTCAGTGCATCATCGGACTATCTTCCAACCTTACTAATCTGACTCTGCCGTTGGTGTGACAAGCAAGTATGTAATATATGAAAACAGGGTTTCTCTAGACAGTATAGTGTTCAGTACTCACGACCTAGTTGCATTTACCTTACCCCTGGGTAAGTATCTCAAGGTTAACGATTTGAATTAATAAGGGACAATTATGTTAAGATCACATGTGAATGCTCCCCTAGTGTGCACATATGTTAACTTCACATATGAACAATGCTTCAGTGTGGTAATATGTTAACTTCACATATGACCAGTGTTTCAGTGTGCCAATATTTTAACTTCACATACGACCAGTGCTTTAGTGTGCCAATATTTTAACTCCACATATGAACAGTGCTGCCGTGTGCCAGGTATGTAAACTTCACATATAAACATTGGAGGTTCGTTTCACACTTCTACATTGCAGTGCTAATGAAAAGTCCAGGCCATAAACTTAGAGTCACATAACCTATTAGAGTCCCTTGTGAGCGCAATCCCGGGAGCGGCACCTCTCTGCCAGGGATCTTCCAACCCTTAATGAGGGAGCTTAGTAGTGGGTTGTGGAGGTAGTGGTGACCATCACTCGTCTGGCGTCCGCAAACAAATGCCAGGCAAATGCGAGGTCGCGGCTTATGGCGCTGAAGGGGCCGGTCCCGCGTGACGTCGGTGGCCTGGGGGCGGAGCCTCCCCTCGAGTCCGCGACTCTGAGCGGCGACATCCCAGGAATCATTACAAGTAGTCAGGACAGGCCAAGGCCATCAACGTGCAGGCAACGCAGTACAGAGGGGTGAAGCCGGAGAATCGTTAGGAACAAGCCAAATGTCAATCACTGGAGAGAAGCAGAAGAGCCAATCCGGGTTAGTAACAGAAGCAATTCAGGAACAGGATGCAGGGACACAAGGAAGCTGACAATCTGACAGCAAAGGAGGTTTGTTAGCCACAGCCTTATGTAGCCAAGAGGGCGCCAAAAACTCAAACAACACGTCGGCGTGCACGAACGCGAGCACAACGTGCACGCTTACTCAGAGATGCTGCACGTGATGCAACTCTATTAGCTGCAGTATGCGCATGCGCAAACTGTCGTGAAAGAATTCTGGCTTCCTGACAGTTATGGTCAAAAGCAGGTCAAACTTAGTTTGTACAATGTGGAACCAATCAACTCCATGTATATTTGAATTAGATAGTATCAGGAGTGCCGGTGGCTCTAGAGATATTATAAATAGGATAGGGTATAAATGAGCATCTTTGATGGGTGCCTCTGTCAGTGGAGAAGGAGCTGGAAAAATGTGCAAGGTAGTGCACTTTGGTGGTTGGGTGACAGTACATCGCCTTGAGCGAAAAGATGAAGTGATTCTGGAACCCCATCTCTGTAGAGCATAGTGCATATAGTCCCAGATAATAAAATGTTTTATGGATGTCTAATCCCAGTTGTGTGCCCTGGATGTGTTTTCTATGCATTAAATGGATCACCTTGTGGTTATCCAACACCTGTCGATGTGTGACAAAGCCCTCCTGGTCCTTGTGAATGGTCAGATGGAGGAAGGAATAGAGTTGGGTAGTGAGTTTAATTTCACATCTCATTTATTGTATTTTGTTAGCCCCTGGTGTTATATAAATACTGTCATTAATGTGCAACTCCGCTTTTGTGAGGAAAATAAAAATCCTCAGCAAGCTAGTTATATATATTGCTAGGATTTTAGTGAACATTATTGTAAATCATTACCTGCTTCTTTTTCAAGAGTTACTGGAACAGATCACTTCCCTTGCTGCCTCAAACTCACTGAGTGGAAGTGTCAGTCTGCTGTAATCACTTAGAAAGTTGCATTGTTGATATAAAAGAAACAATACATCTCCAGCATGACTTTAGACATATGGCAACATTATCCCTAAATATGAAAGGCATATGGAAATTACATAAGGTGAGAGCAGTAGATGTGTACATAATGCACCAAGAAATATGTTCCCAATGTTCCCATTAAAACAGAACTATGTGGTATACTTTTTTTTTTGCATTTATAGATTCCTAATGATACAGGAGTACATCTTGCAATGTACTCCTGTAATCAAAAATGCACCATAAGCTTACAATTTAATGTAATATACTGTAGGTGAAGCTAAGTTCTGTCCTGAGACGCGATCCCGACAACATTGTCGAGTGACAGCAGCTTGTAGGAGCTACTGCGCATTCATGAGAACCTATGAAGGCACAGCAACGGAGAGCACATCCTATCAGAGTTAACACTTGCACATCCATCTCAGTTTGTCTTTTGTTTCCCCTCTCTCCTCCACACTGCTGTCTCCAGACAATACATATAACACATCGGCGCTAAGACTGTCAGTTTAGCTCAGCAGAGTGTAGGGAAGGGGGCGAGGACTGGGCTGAACTGTGTTTCTTAGTGCTGATGTGGTATGTGTATTGTCTGTAGACAGCAGTGTGGAAGAGAGAGGGGAGAGGGACGAAGGACTAACTGCAGGATGGATGTGCTAGTGTTCGTAGACCTGTGATATGGCATGACATGAATAAAATTTGATAGGATGTGCCCTGCACAGGTACTCATGAACACTCAGCAGCTCCTACAAGCTGCTGTCACTCAATGGGAGAGGAGGATACCAACAATATTAATGGGATTGCTTCTCAGCACAGAGCTTAGCCCTGCCCACTGTTTTACATTGAATTGTAAGCTTATGGTGCGTTTTTGATTACAGGAGTACATTGCAAAAAATACTCCTGTATCATAAGGAAACTAAAAATGCAAAAAAAAGTACACCCCATAGTTCTCCTGTAAGGAATATTCTTTTTTAACATACATTTTTCTATTCTGTTTTTGACTAGGATTTTGACTTTTTTTAAATCTGTGTACCACAACGCACAAGGTGCTTTGAAGTTCACTACCGTGCAGGTCCGTCAGCGCCAACCATACTTGTGTTTTAACGTGTGATGCAAAAGCACAAATTTTTGCAATGCCATAGTATGAAACGGTCATCGTCGTGTTCTCAGTGAAGCATTTTAGAATATGGCAGCACTATAAAAATAGAAATGGGTTTAATCTTTAAACTGTTACCTCCCTGTACTATTTCTCTAAGCTTTTTTTGTAGTAATCACCTGTGTAGTACTTTGTCTTGCTGCTTCTTATTCATATTGTACTTATTGACCAACAATTCATTTTTGTTAGCTTCTTTCTACACATCAGCACTATCCCCTTATTCATTCAAAGCATATCTAAGCCCAAAACAAAAATATTAGAACTGTGCATAGCGGTCCTTAGATGTGGTGGCTGCATTACTTTAAATTTTTAAGGCTAAGAACATTTTCAGCAAGTACAGAAACTACCTGCTGATCTTGCCAGGAATGCAGAGTCCTTCTCACTACCTATGAGCTTCAAAGAAAGCACCAACAATCCTTTCTTTGTTGTGTGAACAACTAGTCCCATCAATCTACCATGTAATGAAGATGAGAAAAGGCAGACATGTTTGAGGTCCAGTTGCCATTGCTGCCCACATAAATTAAGTGGAGAAAAAAAGTGCAAACACAAAGGGACAGGAAATGTGTTATTCACTGGCTTACCAGTTGAACATAAAGCAAAAAAAGCCTGAACAAAACGAAAATGAATGCCGACATTGTTTCTGAGTTCTGTAAAGCTGCAATATATAACAATTTTGTTTTGGGGTTTAGATACACATCAATCTCATAAAAATAATTACATTTTATCACTTGAATTTTTTTTTCTTTTTAATTTTTTTTAAGAATCTCTGTTATTTTCTATTTCTTTTTACTAGCAAAGTCAAGCAAGCGCCACAGATTTCCCCAAGCAAGTCCTCAGGAGGAGAATTCTGTGTCTCTGCAGTGTTTGGATCCTCCCGATCCTGGTTTGCAAGCAGTCAAGGTATTAAGAGGGACAAAGGTCAGTAAATTGCTCAATATTAAAGGAAACATCCAGATTCACACAAAAATACAACACACTGTATATTTGCATGGCCTAACTGTAAAGATATGCAAACATTGTAGTAAAACTTAATTTTGTTTCAACTGCATTCTGCTCAAGCCTTCAGTTTGTAAACTTGTTTACATGGTAAACTGATTATTATTATTATTATACAGGATTTATATAGCCAACAGTGTGTGCCGTGCTTTACAATATAGGGAAGACATTACATTTACAACACATTTCAAGACGAGAAAGTAAGGAGGGCCCTGCCCATAAGAGCTTACAATCTAAGATTAGAATATTAGTATTAGGCAAAGGAATCATGGTGTGTCTGGGGAGATGACAATATATCAATTCTGGAAACCCCAAGCATTTCTAGCTCAAAGTATGTTTATTGCTGCAGCAGACTATATACTTGTTATATACACAATGCTATCTAGTGGCTGAAGAGGAGTAGCATAGTCATAGGGAAGCAAGGGATGTCAGCGCAGTGCTCTGCAATGCATGTATTTTCATGCACTGAGGCATGTTGCATTAGGAAGCCTATTAATTTTGAAAATGAACAAACTCTAAGACCTGCCAGCAACCATGTATTTAAGAGGAGAAGCCACACAGAAATGTTGGATTTGAATTTTCCAGCCATATGGAGCTCAAGCCCAGAAAGAGTTTTCACAAAGAGTGTGGTTTTTAGTTTAAAATTGCTATTAAATATGAATAATTAATTTGGAGTTAACTTGGCCTCAGTGCAAAGTGTGGATAAATGGAATGCATTTATCACAACCAACTTTTTAATTGCAGTATGGACTGTAATACAAAACACTTATATATTGTAAAATGACAAGCCATTTATGTGAAATGGCTTTACATAAAAATGTCAAGATGTCTTCAAAACTGATGGTATTTAATATGAAGGTGGCATTTCAGAGAGCAAATTTTTTTTAAGCCAGTTGATCTTATGACCTGTCCTGTTATGTTCAGAGGAAAACCAACAACTTTAATTAGGGATGCACCGATACTGTTATGTTCAGAGGAAAACCAACAACTTTAATGAGGGATGCACCCATACCAGTATTAGTATGGGTGCATCCCTCATTAAAGTTGTTGGTTTTCCTCAGAACATAACAGGACAGGTCAACTGTGGGCTAAAAAATAAATACTGAACATTTGGCCGAGTCCTCGTTCTCTCCCACATGCTCCGATACTTACCGTGATACCGTAACTTCTGATTGGGCAGGAAGCCAGCATTGCATTGCATTGTTGCGAGGGACCATGAAGCCGGTGTGCTTTTGATAGAACAACGGCTTTCCAGGCAATGACCAGGCAATAACCTGCTGCCTGTCTTCCTGATTAGACTAGCCCACACAACATCGGGATTCTGGTATACCAGTATTAGTATCGGTGCCAACACTGAGCATTTGGGCAAGTACTCGTAATCGCCCTTAATGTTCTGATACTTACCCTGATTCCAGTCAGAGGGGAGATTCTCTCTGACCAGCAGTGTCATTAGGGAGCATGGATCCAGCTTCCCAGCCAATCAGGAAGTCGGGTGGCGGGTCATGACCTGCCTTCGATAGAACACCGGCTTCCTTATTAGCTGGGCCCACGCTACCTCAGTATGCCGGTGTTCGGTGCAACCCTAACTTGGAAAGTCAGTTCATGCAAATCAGATATCTCAGTTTTAAATAAATGCTGGTTAGTTGGTTAAATCATTCATCTGTTTCTTTTGTTTACTGAGGGCTAAAGGCAAAGTCTATAATGGCTGGTTAAATATAGGCAAATAAGCTGTTCACTTTGCAAGGGAATTTTCCTCTAGCTTAGTGGATGAGGGGAAGCTCTGCTGACTTATATCATCCAATCATGTGCAAGAAAAAATACTGCCTGTTTTATTTTCCTTGCACGTGATTTGGTATTCTTTGTAAATTGTGAAAAAAAGTTAATTTTTTTCACTAAGCTAAAGGAAAGTTTGCTTTCAAAGTGAAAATTCCCTTGCAAAATTAGGAGCCTTTTTGCTTTTAGTAAATCAACCCTGTAAAGTCTCCATGTTCCTTGGCTATCCGGCCAAGTGGTACTCACTTTCGTTGTTAGATTCTACTTTTTACATTATTTTGCAATGCATTAGGAACTTGGACAGTCAACCTGATGCACCAGTATGAATGAGACACCAGACTGTAGTGGATGGAGCTCTAAATCCTAGCAAGCTCATCTTAACACCCATGACTGAAATATTGCATTTTGTTTACTTGAGACTCTCTGCCATACAGTTCTGCCATACAGGATAGACATAGCCTTAAATATTCTCTGTAAGTAAACATTTATATTTTATATACAGATATCATGTGAATTTGCTTTAGAGGCATGACAGTAATATTAGTTTACAGTACGTTTGACATTAGTTATTGATAAATACTAAGCAAATAGTGATAGTTCTACTGATTTTATACACGGAGAAATGTGCCTATAGATCTGTATGCAGAAAGTGCAGTGACTTGGTGGCCATCTCACAGGTAAGGGTAACATGATATCAATAACTGTACTGTACAATGGCAGACTTGGTTTTCTGACACTGCACTGCCTCATAGAGACACTTTACTCAGTGAGTCAGACCAACATATGTTGCTCTATGTTTAGACCTGACTCTTGCACTGATAGACATACAGGGCAGTCATAAACTATTACATTTACATTGTGATCTCAGCCAAGGACATATGGCCAAGACACAAGCCACCTAAAAAAATCAGACACATCTGTCAAAAGTTGCTAACAAAGGCACACAACACCGCAGCTATTGCGGAAAAGGTACTATGAATTTTAATAAACACAAGACTGTCCAGTGCAGACCCGTATGCTTGTCTAAAAACATTTCTTGCCTCACTGCATGCTTTCCTTAACTGCCTCCAAAACACTTTGCTATGAGCATGTGAGTAAAGTAAAACAGCCATTGAACACTCTTTGTGAACAAGGTTTGTAATACAGTATGCTAGACATGAAAGTGTCAGGACTGATAAATACACTGCATTAAACCGCCAGGAAACCTAAAAAAGAATCCATGGTGGACAAAAGCATATTATCATGCTTACATGTTTATCTAAATGTACCTCTCCCTGCTCACAAAATTAGATGTTTGACAAATGTATGTAACTTTGCCATGCAGCCTCTTGATATATGTCACTTCTTATTTTAGGTTAAAGGAAATTTGAAAGGTCCACTCTAATCTGATTGTTTAATTCTTTCTCACTGCCAACATTTTTTAGATTAAATTTGGATCCTGAAAGAGTTCTAATTTGCCTTTACTGGGCAGTATTGTCATATGAGGCACAATCGGTGCTATCTGTTTGTGTACTTATAGTAGTAAAATGGCCAGCACCATAACAGTCATATACTGCATGGTCTTGTTTTGGCTTCTAGCCCCCTTTGTCAAGCTCTACTGTATCAAGTTAAATAACACATTATTTTATAGCTACTCATTTGCATGATTTTGAATGGAAAATGCGCAATAGACATGAAGTTCCATCAACATGAGCCTTACGGCAGTTAGTCACCAGTTAAATGTTTTAGGCAGACCCAAAAGAAGACTATTCATCATTTAATGTGACTGGGCAATGTCATACCCCCTTTCATTCAAATTATGCACCATAAAGCTTTACTGTGCCAGGGGAAGTGACAGACCTGATACTGAGCTTAAATGTGTGTTGAGATGCTTCCATTTGCACTTATCCTAATTGTTTGTTAATGTGTGTTAGGTTGTTTTTTTTTAATATAAATTATTCGAAAAAATGTTATTATTTTCAGTTTAGTGAACTGTGTAAAACTAGAAAGCATCTCTTGCCTATATGAATTGGATGCCAGGCTTAGTAAGATGGTACCTACCTACACATTAGTTCATATGTGGTAAATTTCAGAACATCTGAATTGCTTAAAGTGAAACTAAACCCCCTGATTTAACTGTAACCAAAACAGTTACTTTTAAGACATGCATTACAGTTGCCAGTGTGCTTATATCGTGCTTATATCGGCTGATCACATAGGCAGCACAATAACAACTGCAGATCTAATAAGATATCAAAGTCTTTGGATGTAAAGGATAGGAAGGTTTAATTTCACTTTCCCAGTCATCCATAGCAAATGGTGAACAACCAGGAATATAGGTTCTGTGGCTAGCTCACCCACATATCTGAACTTTGCATTTAATTTTCATATGTAGTCATTAAATTGTTTAATTGTATTAACTGATTGCAAATTTGTTGATACAGCATTCAGAAATGTTTATCTTTGACATTTTATAGACCAGACTAAGCAGTATGTGGTGGAATCCCTATATATCATTAGTTGTTATGGGACTTTGGTAGAACATGTGCTTGAACCTCGGCCTCTAAGCACTGCAACGAAGATAAATGATGACACACTTTTGGAAATGTGGACTTCACCACGCGCAAGTTGGACTCTAGTTAGGTATGACATGATTGCATATTATTGATCATTATATTAAAACGTGCCAAATGTTTGAAAACTGACTGTGAAGTTCTCTTGGTAACCAGCCTATTACAGGACTGAAATAGTATGAACAGGTTAGAGCTCTAGCTTTTTCAGTGTGCTATGGAACCTATAGTATGTGAGTTATAGTACATAAAACATGATTTTAAAGAGGGCATTTATGAAATTTTTCTGTTTTAGTGTTTTTATTTCAGAAAAAAAGGGTATAGAAACAGTCCTGTAGTCATATTATCTGTAATTGATTTCTGCCTGTCCCATGAACTTACAGGTTGATAGGAATCAATTATAGTCTATGGGCAACAAGGCACATGTGCCAAGTTGAAGATCAGGTCTCCAGTGCTAGCGTTTCACTGGAAACCTGATTGCTGATTTACTAGGCAGCATGCAGTGGCTTCTGCCTTGGAAAATTAGTATTCTGTAAATGTATAAAGATACAGAGGACCAGGAGGGAGGATATTTCTTTATATAGTTAAACCTGCAATTTATCCTGTAAGGTGAACACTGGGTGGTGCCACTCTAGGGAGGAGCAATGGAGTCACCCTTGGAGAGCAGCATTGTCAACCTGTAGGAAGCATAGTGTAAGATGGACTAGCAGATGTAGATGGACTTCACTAACACATAAAGCAATAAATTAAATCTGAACTTCAGCCAACAGTGCTAAACAGTCACAGCAAAATATTTTTTTTTCTTATGGGTTAAAGGTTTAACACGAATAAAAGGTGACCAATGTTAGCACCCCTGTCAGTGTTAAATGGTTTGCATCAACCCTTCATCTGCCATGTTTGTTGGACAGTTTGACCTGTTAAAACAAGTTTAAAAAAATAACATACTTGCTAGCCAGATCACCAGGTGAAAATAAAGGGGGGGGGAAAAAAAAGAAAATTAATCCCGTCACCACATCGAGGGACTGGTAAGCTGAAATCTACTACATTTTTGTTTTTCGGTTTAGGTAAGGACCAAAAAGTGATGGTTTTAAGCATACAGTATATAGAGTGCATTTTCCTCATACCATAGAATTATAGAACTAACTTTTTCCCAAGAGAATTTCATAAATCATATTTCTGTTAGTATAACCATCACTTACAGTTATTATCATTAGCCCCTAATTTATATCTACATTAACGTGATTGTCTATAAGAGCAGCAATGTTCCATCGGTTTTCTAATAAGAGTTAGTCTAGATTGAGATGGCCCTTAATAAGTGGCCAGACCTAACTGCAACAAACAGAAATCAATTTAGAAATATTATTCTATGGCCTTTTTTAGGACAATTTAAAGTATTTTGACATTGATTTTCAGGATGCATTGTCCTGCAGCCGTGGTTATTCCTGTATTGGTGGAATCAATAAGAACGATACAGAACAATTTACAAGGAACTTTCCTTAATTAAAATGACCTCATATTGGACAGAGCTGTCATTTCTCAGAGAGAAGGACCATAAAGGAATTTTGTCTGAGTTAAGGAATGTTGTACAGTATGTCCATCATCCATTTTTATTACACTTAAATTTATAGTCATTTCTTAGTCTACTTGATACAGAATATGGACTTCAACCAGATATTGAGTGAATGTAATATCCTGATATTGAGCTAACTTTTACCAACAGGGAGATGTTTTCTCTCTTTTATTTAGCACAAATATCATATATTTAAAACTAGGAATTGAAAGGTGTTAAATATGTTGGAGAATTTTGAAAAAAGACACGAGTGGCTAGATGATAGGTCATACTGCCTTGCAGAGATAAGTTTTAAAACATTGTGGAGCTTGACTCATTTTTTTTTCCATAATTCAAAAACCTAACTGGAAAATCCATTGACGTGCCTAAATTGTCCATAGACATACAAGATTTCCCAGTATCTGCTCATGATCTTTACTCAGTTATAAGTGGTGGGAAGCTACTGTTAATAACACTTAAACATTTGAAGCAACTTATTTATATGAATCACATGTTTGTGTGCACGCATAAATAGTTATACAAAGGCCAATTATTGAACAAGAAAGGGCTTTAATAGAATTATCTGCCAGTGATCAGCCAGTGCTTGAAGCTGACACTTTTTTCTTTAATGCCAAATGGCTTTAGCCAAGCTTTAGGTAAGAGTAGTTACTTTTCAGTTTTATTGGAATGGACTGTGGATACTGAAGCAACAAAATTATCATTTAGTTAATAGAGAGAGATTTTCGTTCTACATTTCTTTTTCTGGCAGGCTGAAATGAGCTCTGGAAAGTCCATATCAAGCAGTACATGGCAAATTTGGAATCTTTAGTTGTACAGGTTGAGTCACTCGTGTGTAATTATCAGTCACTGATTCCTACAATTCCTAGAAAAATGGAAATGCCCTATTTGACTAAGCCCCTCTACTTGGTACCTTTTTAGAGAATCCTGCATGTTGCTTCTAAAGTGAACCTGTATTGGGAATAGAAGATGAACACATACCAAGTAACAGCCACAACAGGGGATGAGGAGTCCCAGAGGCTGCAAAATACAAAAAAAAAAAAAAACACCCAGCAGACTTTATAAGTTAAACATGCAATTGCAGCAGCCTGTCCATAAAAATGGGAGGAGGCTATGGGAGGAATAAATATTTTTGTAGCCACATGGATGAGTCCTGAACAAAAAGAACTCCTGGGTTTTTTATGCAAATTAATTTTAAAGTGTGTGAACCAGGTATGAATATTACATGCATGAGCTCTGCTGTGTTGAAACTATATGTACAAATATATATTATACACACACCATATATATATTGTATGAATCCCATAAGAAATAAAAGAAATGTGTTTTGCCTGCTCACTCATGTTTTCTTTAAAAATGGTATGTATACTGTATTCCCAATTCTCCAAGGGTATGCAAACTTTTGAGCACAACTGTATATGTACTTCTTTTGTAATATCTTAAAGTTGTTAAGTTTGGTTAACAAGCAATCTGCTTGTTGCAATTTCATAGGACTCCACAATGGAATGAGCTTCAACCACCATTCAATGCAAATAATCCCTTGTTGCTGGCATCAGATGTGGTGCAATATTATCAGTACCTGCTGGCTGGATGTGAGTATACTGTGTCATTTAAAGTACAACTGTGGCTTCCCATTACAAAATGTGTGCTGTGTCCATCATTGTCACTGCTGATTCACAAGTCTGTAGCTTATTAGTGCTTTCCACTGCTATCTAAATTGATAGCACTGCCTCTGTTGCTGAAACCCTTGCACTGTGAGCTGCAATGTCTAGAAGGGTGTGCAGCACAAATGAAGGAGGATTTGGCTCAGTCAGGGAATGTAAAGGACATTTTTTGTTTACTTTGAGACTTGTGCATCACATAGTAACTAGATTTGATACTTGTTTAGACTGTCATCCAGGAGCCTTTAGATGCATTTTATGATACAATTTCTCATTTTACATAAGTGTGTGTTGTGTGTGGTGCATATATGCTAGCGGCACTTGGTCTCATGGTAGGTAGTACTTGGCATGGTTCATGTGTAGTGGGGTATTTTTGCTTTAGTGTAAACTGCTTTTAGCAGGAACTAGTGGAATAGGTTTCATTTACCTTTTGTTACAAGAGACATCAGCTTCTACAAATGTATTAACCACTTCCGGAGCAATTTCTTAATATTTGCACACATGATAAAATATGAATTTTTGGGTAGAAAATCGCTTCAAACCCCCAGACAATTATATATTTTCTGAAAGCAGAGGCCCTGTAGAATGAAAAAGTTGCAATTTGTTATGTTGCACAGTATTTGCACAAATGTTTATCAAACCAATATTTTTAGGATAAAATACACTAAAATGAAATTTAGTGCACATAAACAGAATATAATACCCAATTTTAAGTAAATTTTAGGTAAATGGATACCAAACATGTCAAGCCTTAACATTGTGTTCCCCGCGAAGCCGCAAAAAACGTCAATACCCAAAATTTCCCATAGGGGACACTTTAAAAGCTTTTAATGCTCATCAGTTTAGTGCTAACAGTGATTGATGGCCCTAGAATTATTGCTCTCACTCTGACGTTCGCAGCGATATGTAACACATATCACAATTTTCGTTTTTGCGCATAGGCGCACTGACGCGTGTTTGCATATGTATGTGCGTGCACTTGGGGACTTAAATTTTTATTTTTTTGCATTTTTTATATATATCGCTTTACTTTTTTTTTACACTAACCTTATTGCCATCACATAGGGGGCTATCAAGCCCCTTATGTAGTAGCAGCAGATAGGGTATGACGGGTCCTCTTTCACATCCCTAATGTCTCCTAGAATCCCCAAAGAAGCTGAGGAAACCGCTATCTGCTTCCCCAGCTTCTTTTTCTGGCTCCAAGAGCTGGAGAATGTAAACAGTGACACCGGAAGTGATGTAATACACATCACTTTTGGGTCGAATGATAGGAGGAAAGATTAGCGGCTGGAAGCCGCTGGATCTCTCTCTGATCGTTGCGGGGAGTCCCACCATGCCACTCCCGTGCCCCGCATGAGGGGCCGGTGGCAGCAGGGTGGGGTGAGGGCAGCACATGTCAGTGATCTGTACAAACGGTCCAGCGGCTGTATAGACGCCGGATCGTTTGTACCTGAGCAGCTGTCGCCCACTGTTTAAAATAACACCAAGAACACGGCTGCAGCAGGACCGAGTGGTAGTTCTGTCCAGACTGTGATCGCCAACCTGTGCTGGTTTATGGCTAGCCTCCGAGGCTGGTGCATCCACTGCCAGCAATAACCCATTTCAGACCCCTCCTCCGCTTCAGTCATTAGTTGCTAGGACCACTGGCATCCTAGCAACCAATTACATCTGGCAGGGTCAGCTTGTCAAATACAAGTTATTCCCTCTGGACTACACCTACCAGATTCCTTGTTGGCTGGCGGTTGTTGTCAAGCGGTGCTTATGGAGATTTAGGGACTGGGCTAGGTCCCAGTGATACAGGCCTTCCGCGCTGTCCTGGGGACTGCTCTGTATAGCTAGGAATAATTAATATCATACAGAGTGTCCAGTGTGCTGCTGAGACTGAGGACACCCACGCACATCCCGTACACCCTGCAACCAGCATCGGACAGTGAGATGCCTGTGGAGAGTGTGCCTGTCATCACTGTCTGTATACTCACTGATTGTATGCATTACCTAGAACGGACTCCACTACACGTCACTGGCTCATATTATGTGTGCGGTCAATAAAAAGACGTTATTCTACCTTGGAGTGTCCATAATTTCTTATTTACCTGACGTGACCCCGTCTTTTATATTTTGGCAAAAATGTGGGTAATAATAAACGTTTCATAACATAATGAAAACAGGGTTTTTTTTCAGCATTTTCTATACTTTTTTCGTTATATAGTAAAAAAAAAAAAAAACCTCCAGTGGTGAATAAATACCACTAAAAGAAATCTCTATGTCTTCCAAAATAAAAGGTATAACATTCACTTCAGTACAGCGTTGCACGGTGGAATACATGTCAGTCAAATTACCGCAGTGCTAAATACTGAAAAATGGCCTGGACAGGAAGGGGGTTTAACACCACGGACTTCAAGTGGTTAAATAAACTATATGTATTTTCCTTGCAATCTTTGACAAGTAGGCAGTTGTGTTTGCTTTGGGGACATCATTTCTGTGGCAGTTTTCATTACAAAAGAACTGAATCCAAACCTCATGTGTATAATATATTAAAGTTTATTTATATCCAAGACTAATCTCTTTTTTTTTTGCTAGAGTAGGAAATAGAACTCTTATTAGGTTATTTTTGTGTGTGCTGATGGGGAAATCTCTCCAGTGTGAGGAGATGGACGATTCCCCCTCCATTTCCGGTCTGGTGACAACTGTAAACTTTTGGATTTCTCATCAGTTTCTGTCCCAGTGACAGTGGTGACCAGGACAAATAAGGAAGTTTCATAACATAATGAAAACAGGGTTTTTTTTCAGCATTTTCTATACTTTTTTCGTTATATAGTAAAAAACAAACAAAACCTCCAGTGCTGAATAAATAGGAAGGGGGTTTAACACCACGGACTTCAAGTGGTTAAATAAACTATATGTATTTTCCTTGCAATCTTTGACAAGTAGGCAGTTGTGTTTGCTTTGGGGACATCATTTCTGTGGCAGTTTTCATTACAAAAGAACTGAATCCAAACCTCATGTGTATAATATATTAAAGTTTATTTATATCCAAGACTAATCTCTTTTTTTTTTGCTAGAGTAGGAAATAGAACTCTTATTAGGTTATTTTTGTGTGTGCTGATGGGGAAATCTCTCCAGTGTGAGGAGATGGACGATTCCCCCTCCATTTCCGGTCTGGTGACAACTGTAAACTTTTGGATTTCTCATCAGTTTCTGTCCCAGTGACAGTGGTGACCAGGACAAATAAGGAGGATGAATCTCCACAGTGTGCTCATAGACAGAAATAAAAACATATTAGAGGTTCTAACCTCGCATCCCTCAGCAGTAAAACATCAGTAGTACAGTACCAGGCACCTGTGTGTAAAAGCCCTTACTGTATAACATAAAATATAGGTGTATTTCCCTACCCAGGAGCAGTGGCGGAACCACCACCATAGCGACCCACGCGGTCGATAAGACAGTAAATTATCATTGATATTTACCGATCCTCTGTGTGCTGCACAAACACTGGAGTGATCGTCTGATCCAGTGTTTGTAAATAACTGCAGACACATAGTACTATGTGTCCCCAGTTATGAATGAACAGGAGGTGATTTACATTTACAGTACTTGCATAAACACACACATACATAAAGAGGTATGCCCCTAAATACAGACGGTCCCTGGGGTTGTACTTCCCTACTCATGCACATTATTATACAGGACTTATATAGTGCCAACAGATTGTGCAGCGCTTTACAATGTATGTTTATGCAAGTACTGGTATATACGCGCCTACTGCCATGTACAGCCATTGACTTCTATGAGCAACTGTATGCTCCCGGGCAGGGAAATATGCCAAAATTCTATGTTGTTTGCCCCTAGGCACTTGTGTGCATGAGCCCTAAAATTGCAATTAATACAGCAGTAAAACACAGGAGCAAATGCACCTAAAAGTCAGAAAAACACATAAAAATCACACCACAGTGCATGAAAAAACATTTGTTTAAACATGTTGTTTTAAAACCCTAACAAAAGTAGTTACTTTTGTTTTAATCTTCATAACAAGTCCTGTGCCAGTATCTGAAGGATTGAAGGATCAACAGGAAAATGTAACCCAGGAAGGTAACACTGGCGCCAGGTTAAAGCTGGTGGCTTTACCTATCCTTAAGTGTTTCTTGCAAACTAAAACCTCTAGTTACACATAAGGCTCAACATCATCGTATGGCTTTTAGCTGCTGAAATTTTACAGGCCAAGAGGTATTTCTGCCATCCAGGGATATGTGAATGCTCCGAGATTTCTCCATTTGCAGCTGCTGTCAAATGATTTCCTAATCTGGCAACGTGCTTTCCTAAAACTTGGAAGTACCTAAGAAGCTGTAAATCGGCAACGGAATTGTTTCAGCGCATTTCACAGAATATATTCCCGGTTACTATTTGATTGCTTTTGGTTACACACTGGCCTTCAATGTTTAAAAAAAATATATATTTGTGCTGTGATTTATCTTTGCTGTAATTGCAAATGTGTTTTCCTTTATAACCCTTTGAGTATTTGACACTATTCACACTGGACACTTTCATCTTGTTTATGTGTAATATCTGGTGCATATAAACTCCAGAATAAAAGTAAAATTAAAAAAATATGTTATTATATTAATCATGTTCACTCCCAAGTGTTGGTTTAAAGTGGACCTTTGAGTAAATTCTGCATGTAAAGTATAATTTGTTATTACTTAAGGCTGAAGATAGTGGCGTCCAAAAAACAAAATTAATTGACTTTCGGACCCATATCCCAAAAAACTAAAAATCCAAAACGAACCGAAAAACTATTTTTTTTTTTCCATATAATTTTTATTAAATTATAAACATAACGGGTGCCCGAAGAGGACATGACCTGAGGCCTCGATGTGTCCGGTAACAGGTATGGAAGGTTAGAGTGTTGGGGAGCGGGAGGCTCCGTGCTATTC